TCTCCCTGTGGGGCCCTTTTCCAAGTCTCAGCCCTATTCCCTCCACCATAAACAACCACTTTCTAAGACGAGGAGTCTGTTTCAGAGGCCAGCAGAGCACTTAACTTGTAGATGTTCAGAAACAGCTTTTCTCTGGGATGCTCTTATCCAGAAGATGTGAGGGCAGGACCCTGGCGTAGGGTGGACAGAAGATTTCTTGCAGTCTGTGCTATCCTGGTGAGCAGTGGCCTTTGGCATCAGTCCCCAGGACCTAGCACAGTGCCTGGTACTCAGGAGATGCGCGACAAGCATCTTCTGTGAATAAATGCCATGAGAAGACCCACAGCAGACTTAAGAGAACTTTACTTGTTCAGATTTTTATGGTCTCTCATGAAGTCCAGTGAGAGGATTTAATTATCATTATTGTCAAGCAGTTACTCCTTCAGATGGACTGTTATGACTAGGAGGGTAAGGGTTATAATTAAGATTCTGGTATGCCCTGGCATTTCAAAAAGCACTAATAGCCCTCAGCCATCAGACTCTGCTTCGGGACTAAAATCCTGCCCTGAAGGCAGCAGGCTGTTGGGCTCAGGAGAGCATGAGACTGAAAAGGGAAGAAGGAGGTGAGGGGCCAGGTGGGAACACTCTTTGCCCAATCAGAGGGCCCAGTTTTAAGAAAAGGATTTTGACTTTCTCTTTTGACGTGGGTTTTGGGTTTTTTTTTTTCTACATTTTCCCAAGAAGCCAATGCAGAGCAGAGCTAGAGAGGTGTCAGACTTCACCCTCTGCTGGAAGCTCAGGGTGCATGAGAATAGCCCAGTCCCGAGTCAAGAAAGAGATTCCTGAATACATGTCCCCCACACAGGGGTAGTCACCCCTCACTGGGTCTTTGTGAAAGGGCATCTGGACTCTTGAGGTTGGCCCTGGTGTTCCGGAGAATGAATATTTCCTTCTTAAGTCCAGTTTCATTAAGAAGGTCCTACCTTCTGCCTCTTCTACTCACACATCTGCTTTGTCCCCCATCTCAGTGTTACAATTTATTGGGTATTTACATGAGCAAAGTACTTTGCATGCAAGTTCTGATCAAATTTTCACAAGAACTCTATGAGGTAGCTACTATTATTGCTCCCTTTTATAGATGAAGAAACTAAGGCTCAGAGGAATTAAGTCTGAGCCTCACAGAGTCGGTTACAGTGCCAAATTTCAAACTCAGTTCAGACATCCCCACCAGCTCATTTCATGAGACTCAGATATTCTTAATCAAAACCCAGAAAACAACAACATAAGAAAGGAAACTTTGAGTTCTACCTCACTTACAGGCATAGATGCAAAAGCCCTCCAGTACCTGTTAGCAAACCAAATCCAAAACTGTATGAAGATAGAATACATTGTGATTAAGTTGGGGTTTTCCTGAGATTGAAAGTTCAGCTGAACATTATGAAATTACCTGGCATAATCTATCACATTAACAAATTAAGGGAAAAAAGCTATCTTTTCAATAGCTTTAGAAAAAAAGGTTGATAAAATCCTATGTTCATTCACTGCACATATTTTAAAAATCTTATCAAACTAAGAGTAAAAGGGAACTTCCTTAACATGATAAATGGTATCTAAATCTAACAAAATCTACATAATCTAATAAAATCTAAATAAGTCTAATAAAATCTACAGCAAACATCACACTTAATGGTAAAATGTTAAAGACATTCCCCTTAAGATTAGGAAAAAGAATAAAATGTTTGGTATGTTTCTGCTCAACTCTGTCCCTCCCAGAGCACCTTGCCAGTATGGAAAAATAGGAAAAAGAAGTAAAAGAAGCACAGTTGTTATTATTTGCAGATAATGTTGTCTGTTGGAGCACTCAAAAGAATCTAGGAAAATGTAATGTAGTAGGAATAAATAAGAATTTAGCCATGTTACTGCATACAATCAGTACAAGAAAGTTAATTGCATTTCTGTATTCTAAAAAGAAAAACAAACAAAATAATAAATAAATAAATAAAAAGAAAACAAACAGAAAAATAATTTTTTTAAAAAGATAGCATTTACAATAGCAACTCAATTTTTCAAAATCCAGCAAAAGACAGGCAAAGCCTTTTATGGAGAAAATGTATAAAACTTTATCAAAAGATGTTAAAGAAGACTTAAGATAAATGAAGAATTATGTCACGCTCTTGGGTTGGAAGACTCAACGTCTTAAAGATGTTGATTCTCCCTCCAATTTATTTATAAATTCAAATCCCAATGAGTTGTTTGTTTGGAATGCAAAAGATGATTCTAAAATTCTAAAATTCAAATAGAAGGACAAAAAGCCAATAGCAAAGGTACTTTGAAAAAAGAAGATGGAATTTCGTTGGGGTGAAGAGTTGGTCATACCCAATCAGATACCAAATTTTATTTTAAAGCGATAGCAATTAAGATGGCATGGATTTAGCATAGGGATTCTATTAAACCAATGGAACGTACTGGAGAACCTAGAGACAGACACAGCATGGAGACTTGATTTATGACAGAGCAGGTTTTGCAGATCAGAAGGGAAGGGTGAACTGTGGTGTTGGGTTAATTGAGTATCCATGTGGAAAAAGATGAAATTGGATTCCTCCCTTGTCAAAATCAGTTCCAGGTGGATTAAAGACTTAAATGTGAAAGGCAAAACTATAAAATTTTTAGAAGACAATATAGAAGTATATCTTTATGACCTTGGGATAAAAAAAATTGTATTCAAGATTTTTTGAAAGTATCAACCATCAGGGAATATATTGTAAACTTGACTGTATTAGAAATAAGAACTTCACTTTATCCAAAGACATCACAGAGTAAAAATACAAGCTACAAAACAATTCATATCCAAAATATTAGAACTCAAAAGTTAATAAGAAAATAACCCAAAAAAGGGCAAAGAAAGAGACAAAGGAAATGAAGAAGCATTTCATATAACAAGAATGGCCCATAAACATTTGAAAAGAAACCCAATCTCATTAGTACTCAGAGAAATCAATTTGAAACCACAATGAGGTATCATTTCACACCCACCACAGACAGTTACCCACAAGCTCGGCATTACCACAAACTTTCGAGATGGTGGCATAACAGGAATTGTCATTGGCTGCTGGCAGAAGTATAAATTGTTACAGCCACACTGGGAACCAGTTTGTTATTGCCTAATAAAACTGAGCAGGCTCATGCCCCATCAATTCTACTCGTAGATGTATATCCTGGTGGAACTCCTGTACATGTGCACAGGGGATACACCCACGAATGTTCATAGAAACATCATTCAGGACTGCCCAAACTGAAAATCACCCAAACAATGCATATAGGATAAAATGGTCAGATGGTGGTAGATGCATACAATGAAATACGGGATGGCAGGGAAAACCCACCACAAAAACTGAGTACTGAGTGCAAGAGGCAAGTAACGGGAGAATCCACGCAGTGTGAATCCCTTCTCACTGTGTTCAGAAACAGGCAGACCTCAACACCGTATCATTTATGGGTGTGTACCAACAAGGTAAGAATTACACAGAAAAGCATCGGAACAATTAAGTACCTTTCAGCATTGTAGCTCCCTCTGGGAGGAGGGAAGAGATCAGTTTATAGAGGAATATGCTCCCCCCCCACCCTACTCCTGCCCAGCACTGCAGCTAATCTCTTGGCAGATCAAAATAAGTAATACTTCCTGAATACTTACAACGTGCTGAATAATTTACATAGATTATTTATGAAATCCTCATAAAAACTCAATGAGAAAAATACCGTTATTGTCTCATTTTACGGATGAGGAAATGGAGGAACCACAGAATTCAATATTTGCTCAAGATCACATAGCCTGGTAAAATGCTAGAGCCACTCGCCTGAGCACTAAGCGAGACCTGTTCCCCGACTCCTGGGCGGGAGCTGCATTTTCTCCACCTACATGACTGATGAGGGGGCCTCGTGGCCAGTAGAATGTCGCGGCAAGTCTGTGCCAGGCCCTGCCCCGGTCCCCTTCCTCCCCCATCAACACCTCAAGACCTGAAAATGCCCAGAGGCCACATAGCTGTAGATTCTTCTGTCCCTGATAAAGACTTCTTTTCAATGAGTCATTTCCTTCCAAAAGGAGGAAAAAATGTTTCTAGATCGTAGGAGAAAGACCCACCCGCACCCTCACACACATACCCTTTCTCTGATCCTGCTCAGATCCCCAGATTCTATGCCATGAAGCACCAGTTGCTAGAAGACCTCACATCCAGCCTCACAAACCCTTTGTGGCACAACTGACCCCAGGAAACCACCCACCACAGCCCATTCACTCAGACAGGTTGGGCCTCAGTCTTCAATCCTAGTAACAGGAAGAGACTTGCCTCCTCAGAAGGTGGCCATCTCCTTAGTTGTCTGCATTGACCGGGTGGGGCCTTCGTTTCTGTCTTGTTCTGTGTGTGTTTGTGTGTGCGTGTGTGCGTGTGTGCATGTGTTAATACTAGCATTGGTAAGAGTGTGGGCTCAGGACCTAGACTACCTGGTTTTAAATTTTGTTTCATTCTAGTTGAGTGGCTTTTCTTTCCCTCAGTTTCTCACCCAAAAATAGGGGTGATAAGAGGACCTTTAATAAAGATTGAATTACCTGTAAAGCACTTAAAACTGCCTGGCAAGCTTTACATTCTCAATATTAGCCATTGCATTATGTTTGGAGAATAGGTTTTCATAGAAGGAGGTGACTGCACTGGGAGATGAGTGGGGAGGGGCTGGGGGAACAGATCGAGGCGCCGGCAGTGCCCTGTTGACTGTACGCTGGAGAGGTCTTCATGCTCTGCCCTGTCTGAGCAACTTTTTGGAATGCGACCTTGGCCTGCCACCCCAGCAGACTATAAACCAATCCACCCCCACCCTGCTCTGCCCACAGCCACAAACCACAGAGAAGACACACCATGGGTGGTGCAGGGTGTGGCTCCTGGTTTTCCGCTGTGTCAGGCCGCAGCGGCTCTGCTGTGGGCCTGGCTTGGGGCATTCACTGGTTCTGCTTGGCTTTTCTATCTGTGCAGGTCAGCACTTACCACCCTGCACCTGCCTCCCCGGGACACTCCACGGCCATCGTCCATCTGCCTGGCTCCCAGCAACACCTCTCAGCTAACATGTGAGTAACACCCTCAGCCCTCCACTCACAGGGTCCTGGAACAGACAGGTCATCTTTGCCATCCCTCTGCCATCAAGCATCCCCCGGCCCCAAACATCCCATCCAGAGAGACCGCACCTCCCTTCCTTTACAATCACCAAAGGAAATAATGGTGAACAACGTGATTAGCAAACCACATCATCCTGGCTCATTATTTTACAAAAGTAGAAAGAGACTAGAAGATAATATACCAAAACATTGCAGGGAGATTGAGTCCTGAGCAATATCTATGGTCTTCCTTTAGATTCACAATGCTAGGTCATAAATAGATGTTGCTTGCTCAAGTCATCAGGGAAAAAAGAAATACAGCAATTTAGACAGAAAAAAACCTTGCAGATGAGAACACTCTCCTAGCCCCTTTGATAAAATCAGTGTCTCGAAGTCCTTAAGGTCTAGAACTACTTCCCAATATCTAGCCTGAGTCCATACCCTGGTAACCCTGAACCTGGCAAGCCAAAGTGGGTTGTTTTTAATGCCTTTAGTCAGGCAGTTATTCTCTTTCGCCAGTATCACTATTCCCAAGGTCTTCCCCCTCCAGCTCATTCCTGGATGTTACCTGCCCAACTCCTGTGGGGACTTCAGAGTGGAAAGTTAATGCTCCAATCTGAGAACATTTCTAGCACATTTCAAGCCTGCTCTCCTCCATCCCACCATGCAGCCAGCACTCCGACTATGCACCATTAAACTGAAATTAGCCTCTGCCTCCCACTTCCCAGGGTCCACCTCCTGCCTACGTTAGGCAAGCTCCTCCCCGTTCCTGGGGTCAGACATGTCCGTACCCTTAGGAGAGGCAGTGGATCAGACAGGCTTCTGTACTGACCCCTCATTTCCCTGAACCTTGATGGCTGTGACCGTTTCCTTGAGTGACACTCTAAGCAGTGTGAAAAAGCATCCTGGCAGGGGGGCAGAACCATCACTTCTGGGTTTGAGGCCCAGCTCTGCCACTATTTCCTGGTCACCAACTCCTCTCTCTGTTCTAAGTCAGTTTCGCCATTGTCAAAATGCTGATGTGACCTAAATAGTGATTTGCAGCTGTGGGGCACTCTAAGAAGGAGTGGGAAGATGGTGGGGCCAGGGATCTGGGCCCTTCCATTGCTGTTTCAGCCAGGTTCTACCACTTTTATCTGCCTGACATGTTAAGATTTCAATTCTTAAAAAGTTGTTATTGCTAACCACTGAGCCAATGGGCTCTGAGTTTCTGTCTCCCTTTACCTTTTGCTGGTTCCATGCCCTCCACTAGGCATGTTCACCTTCTTCTCTCACCAACTGCCTGTGTCTCCCCAGGTTTGTAGCCCTGCACTCCTATTCAGCCCATGGACCCAATGAGCTGGACCTACAGAAGGGAGAGGGCATCAGGGTCCTGGGGAGGTACCAGGACGGCTGGCTCAGGGGCGTCTCCTTGGTGACCGGGCGAGTCGGCATCTTCCCCAGCAACCATGTCATCCCCATTTTCAGGTGCGCCCTCTCCAGTCTCAGGCATCAGAGGTTGGTGTATCTAGACCAGGGGCCAGCTGTGGCTTGAATTGCTGAAGGACCCAATACCCTTTCAGAGTGTAGATCAAGAAAAAGCTTTTGCTCTAGTACTCTCCAAACACTTAATTTAAAAAAAAATAGCAAAAATAGTTATCTCTTAAGTAGTTCACAGTTTACAAACACTTTTGCATCTTTTAACTCACTGTCTATACCTAAGGATCCTGTAAGGTGGGTGTCATTTTACAGATGAGGAAACTGATATGCAGAGTTAAGCAACCTACTTGAGGACTAGATTTCAGGTTTTCTACTGTGCAACCCACCTGCAAATTTAACTTCACACTGCCACCCCAACACTCCATAATCGTGGCACAATGGGAAAATGCAATGATTAGAAGACCTCTTGGAGCACTTTGGGAGACTTCCCAGGATGCTGGGCCATTAAGCAGGGTTTTCATGACTCATCCGACCACACCCCAGGTCACATGCTAGTTACCCTGCAGGTCTTCTTCCCAAACAGCCTTTCCCAGCCTTTTTCATTCTGGCACACATATCAATTCCACTGGTCTACACTTTGTCCAGCCGCCTCACATGACCACCAATGCACACAGACCCCCAGCTTATCCAGTCCTCCTCCAACCTCCACCCCCTCGAAGCCCAGGCAAAGCCTGTCACAAACCAGTGAGGCCATCAGCACCCATAAACCCTGCCTTTATGATACACCAGAGAGTCATAACTCCAAGGAAAGTGATAATCCCATTGTTCTCTACGGCAGTCAGACCTGAAGTCATATACGGCCAGCTTGGGGGAACTTCATGTAGGCGGGGGCACTGTGTCCGGAGGAGGGCAGCGATGGTGAGGAGGTAGAAACTACATCATCAGAGAAACCCATAAAGAAAGTAGGATTGCTTGAGCTGCAGAAGACAAGGGTCAGAGGCACCATGATAGACTGTGCAGACCAGGAAGTAGACTTATTCTGGCAGGGGGGCAGTGAACCAGTGGATACAACTTGGAAGGTTTCAGTTTAATAAAAGACTGCACTTTCTAACCCATATATTTTCCCCATCAGACTGGCTGGTGAGGTGGTGGGTCCCCTTTCTCAAAAGAGTACGTGCAAAGTGTGGGTTCCAATAGATCAGATCCAGGCAAAAAGATTTCTTCCCATGACAGAAGGTTCGAGTAGAAGATTCTAGTTATTCCCTTCAGTGAAAGGTTCTTGGAATTTGTTAGAAGGTTGCAAAATCTCCAGAGGCAAACTAAGGGTGTCTGTAACTGATGCTTTAATTCAATTAGTTCAGTAAACATTCATTCAGCACTTAAGCTCAGGCACCTTTCTAGACACTGGAGAAACACCAGTGAACAAAATACACATGTGCCTGCCCCCTGGAGCTTACATTCTAGTGGGACAGACAGACAGCAAGCAAGGCTTGGAAGTAATATATGTAGTAGGCTAATCATAAGGTCTAAGAAGAAAGATAAATCAGGAATGGGGGACAGAATTTGTGTGGGGGTGATTACAGTTTTAGTAGGTTGGTCAGGGATGGCCTTACCGAGCAGTCAGAAGGAAGAATGAAGGAAATGAAGGAACTGTGTTCCAGGCACAAGGAACAGCAAGTACGATACAAAGGCCCTGAGGAAGGAGTAAGCCTGACGTGAAAGGCCAACAGGACTGGATCAGAGAAGTGAGAGGGAGGGTAGTAGGAGATGAGGTCAGAAGGGTAACGGGGATTCAGATCATACAGAATTGCCCCAGTCGTGACGAAGAATTTGGCTTTAACCATAATATAGGGCTTTGAGCAGAAAAGTGACATGATCTACCTTACGTGTTAATGAGGAGCCCTCTAGTCGCTGGGTGGAGAGTAAGAGTAAAGGGTGGAAGCAGAGAGACTAGTTAATCGGACACTGTAGTAACCTGGGGTCGGGAGGTGATGGTGAAATGAACCAAGACGTTGGCCATGGAGGTAGGGAGCAGCGGTCAGATGCTGGGTGTGCCCAGAGGAGAGACCACAGGATTTTCTGACAAGTCAGATACTGAGTATAATAGAAGAGAGGCTTCAAGGTGAATCCAAGTTTTCGTTTGTTTGTTTGTTTGCCCTGAGTAACTGGAAGACAGTTGCCTTTCACTGAGATGAAGTTAAAAACTCTAAGAGGAACAAACAGGTTTTGAGGTGTCAGAGGGAAGCAAAAGCTTGGTTTCCAGGAGATTAAGCCCCAGATGCCAGTTAGTAATCCTAGTAAATGGTAAACGGTTGCGTCTGTAAGTCTAGCATTTAAGAAAGACGTCCAGGCTTGAGGTGGTACTTAGAGCCCTAAGACTGGATGAGGTCATCAAGGCAGGATCCCTGGTGTTGGAGAGAATGACAGGTAGCCAGGGGCTGAATTCTCCAAGGAACGAGGGGAGAGGCCTGCGGGGGGAGTGACATATGCCACAAGGCAGGGTGGAGAGTGGAGGGTGGAGGCAGTCAGATAATGCGAGTCAAAGCCGGGAAGTGCTGAGGAGGGTGGGAGGATGGCCCAGAGTGACAGTGAAGAGCAGGGAGGACGCCTGCCCTAACTCCTGAGCAGCTTCTTCCAAGGAGCCTACCATGAACGCTCTAGGCCCATCTCTACCACTGGGGCATTTGCTTCTGCATCCGGCTTAGCCCTAAGTCCTGGTTCTTGCATGAAAAAAAAATTAAAATAAGAATGACTGTACAATTTATCATCTAAACTAGGATGCTTTTGAGATAAAAGAGGGACTCTTAATACACCAGGAGAGCAGGCGTCAACAGACTCTCCTGGGAAAATCTGGACACGTGGTCACCCTATGCATGTAGGACTCTGTTCCAGTGTATTTCAAGGCTCCAGCTTTCCATTCTATCCTTCTTGGCTTTTCTCCAGGGTAGATCTATTGAGTTCTTCAGCATGTAATGAGCACCTAGGCTCACCCACTCCCAGACGGCCACGTGTCAGACAGCGGACAGAGTTTCAGCATCACAGGTTGCCACTGAGTCCACCCCCCACCCTCAGCTCATAGGGGCCTCAATATATGGCTGTACTGAGGCACGGCTTATGCTGATGGGTGTTTCTGCCTCTAAAAAGGAAAGACCCTATCAGAGCATAATCCCCTGAGGGCTATTAGGGGACAGCAGATCAATGCTTTGTGGGGGGGGGGGGTTCCTTGGCAGCCTCCCAGATGCAAAGAAAGTTCCCATCCCCACGAATCTTGGACACGGATGACATGCTCAGTGTGTCTATCTAGGGGCAGGTCCTTGTTCTTAACAACGCTTCCCACTGTGAGAGGTTTAGTTCCTCCCACTTCTCATCTGAATGACGCCGTCTTTTGTCAGCTGAGTTTCTACTACTGAGTGGGTTGAACTACATCGTGAGGCCCCTTTCCACTCTTTGGTTTGGTGTGTGGGAGAGGTTTTCCTTCACTTCTGTTGTCTGTTGGCAGTGATGGCTCTGCACTGCCACCAGCCTCCGTGGTGGACAGGACTGCCTATATAACACAGGCAGACCTCAAAGGGCAAGGTGCCCCCTGAGTGTCTGAACATTTGCTCTTATTAGCATCATCCCCTAATGAACTGAGCCAGCCAGAGTTTGGGGATCATTTATCCACCAGTGTTGAGTGAAATGCCAGGGCTTTGATTTATGACTCAGCAAGTGAGCCCTTTAATCACTGAGAGAGGAAAGTCGACTGCTCTGTACAGAGCTCCAGCCCTCTGTGCTCAGTGGTGATGCCAACCTGCCCAGCTGTGACCACAGCCAAGTCTCTGCCACCACCACCTAGCTCCGGATCCCGGAGGGGTCCCCTGGCTCAGGTGGTACTGAGCACCTGTCACATGTCATCCCAGCCCTTCGTGACAGCACCTGCATCCCTTTGGGTCTCCTGCACACATGGTCTCGGCGGAGGCAGAGTTTCCTCCCTTTTCAGAGGTTGAAGAAACCAGCTCTTCCTCTCCATCCTCCTTCTCAGCCCATCACCACAGCTGAGGGACAGGCTCAGCCTCCTGGGACTTGGGAGTGTGAACAGGGAGCGAACAGGGTGCGGAAAGGATGGGGGCAAAGTGGAAGACGATTCACACCGAGAACTCAGCAGCCCCTGATCAGACTCCTCCTGCCTCAGATCCCTGCTGCTCAGCTCTCTGCAGCCTCCCTTGGATCCTTTCCAAGCCCTTTCCTCTCCCTCCCATCCTCTCAGTAAATGCCCTTCTGCCCAACTAGCCACGAAACTTCTCTTTCTTGCAACCTCCACCGGACACATATGCCACCCCAGTGCCCAAGGGGTGGAGAAAAGCAACACGTGGATCAGCACTCACTTTCCTTTAGCTTTCTACACACAACTAGATAAAGATTGTCACAGTCCAGGCTTTTCCTTATCAGGAGGCTACTGCCAGCGCTGAGCACGGTATTGCTGCTGTGTGGAATGCCTCTTTCAAATACTGGGCAAGTTCTTAGGGGCTCGTATCACAGGTGAAAAAGGGGACACAGATACCTGCGCACTCAAAGCAGCAATGGAGCAAATCAGAGGCAACGAGCACACCTCTCTCTTAAACCCGGCATGTCTTTCCAGGCTCTCCATCTAGAAAACATGGATCATAATGCATGCAGGTCTAGGGTGTCGTGGGGATTAATTAATCTATGTTAGCAAAGTGCCGTGAAAGTGTTAGGTAAGTGCTAAGCCCCAAAACACAGAGCGACTCGGTGTTGGGTGGGGGACTTGAGATTTAGGAGTTTTTGGAATCTGGCCTAGTGCTGGGCTCAGAAAAATGAGGTTGTACCTTGTCTGTAAACAGCTGTCCAAGGAAGGGACTGTGGAATAGGCTGACCTGGGCCTAGCTAACTGTATTCTGTCCTTGCTGCTGCTGCTGGCAACAGTTTTGGTGCTTGTCTCTTCTGTTGCCAGTCCATTTTGCAGCCTCCAACACTTTGATGCCTTTGTTCAAAAGACGGGCAGGTGCAGGCTCTGCCAAGGAAGCCAGTGCTGGGGAGTTCTTTCCAGCCCAGCCCTCATCTTCAGATTGTAGCCTGAGCTCTTACTGGTGGACCGCTCAATCCACTTCACTGACCCAGTCACTAGGGACCAGAGGCAGGTTGAAGGCTGTGGACAGAAGCCCCCTGGCTGCAAGCATCAGGTCCTGGTGCATTTGGCTGTGTGCGCTTCCTGGGCAGAGTTAGCCGTGTTAAATGATGTCTGACCCGTCTTGTACAACACTGGTGGCTTGTTATTAAACTCCACACCGTTTTTTAAGCAAAAGGAGGGAAAGGAGAAATAAGGGGGAGATTACCTAGAGAGAAACCTGGAGGCAATGATGGAAAGGAAACCAGAGGGAAGGCATCTCTGTGCTGGGGACTTGATTGAGCTGGTTATTCCCAGGGAATCAGCAGAGGCTATTCAATCAACAGAGTGACAAGGTGACTGATGGACTGCTCAGCAGGCATTGTGATGTTGGGGTAGGATTGGTAGAAAGCCAGGAAGGGGTTCAGGGAGTTTCAGACTGGAAGCAATGGACAAGAGATTGCTGTTTTACAAAATTTTGATACTATTCCTAAAAATCAGAGCTTAAGGCTGAAGAATTAGGTCTTAAGGAAGCCTACCAGCTCCTTTGGTTTGTTTATTTCAAGTAGGATGCAGGGTTTTCCCTGCTACCAAGTGATGGATGCTGTAACTAGCCAGGAGATAGTGTAGCTCAGCAGTAAGACCACGGGTGATATAGCTCAGGGGTAGAGCCGAGGGCCAGCCTGGACCTGGGTTCAAATCTCAGTTTGCTTTCTGTTAGTTGCTTGGGCAAATAACCATAAGTCTCTATTTTTTCAGTCTATAAAACAGTAGCATTAAGAGTAACTACCTCATTTGATACAACATTATAAAATGATTATAAATCAATAAAAAATATTTTAAAAAAAGAGTAACTACCTCAGAAGGCTGTTGTAAAGAATCCATGAGCTAATGTGGGCAAAGCATTCGACCAATGCTGGGCATACCGTAAGTGCACAATGTGTGTGAGCCAGAATGACTGGCTGCAGTACTAAAAGCATCATGGCAGCCATTCAACAAACATTTATTAATAGACAATATATGCAGAACCCAGAGGATATAAAATGGTCATATAAAATCTCTGCCTTCAAAGAGTTTAGAATCTAATGGAGAAGTCACTGAATGAACAAGAAATGGCCACTGCAAAGCAAGATGAATACATATAAGATCTTGTGATCTGAACTCAAGGGCTGAAGGAATGTGGAGTGAGGAGTGATCAGAGCTGGAGTGAAAGCTGGTGAAACTGGAGTCTTCTAGTCCCACCAGGGCCTCAGTAGGAAATCCGCTCCCTGCCCTCAGTGCAACCACAGTTATCAAGGTGCCGAAGGTGAGGTCTACGTAGTTCAGCCTATGCGGTTGACGGAGACAGTGTAGGTGGGTAGGAAGAGGGTGAGGAGAGGCCAGATTTCGTATATGATTGGGAGCTTATAATCCTTTAAAATAGGACTCTAGGGGGATAGGGTATAGCTCAAGTGGTAGAGTATATGCTTGGCATGCATGAGGTCCTAGGTTCAATCCCCAGTACATCATCTAAGAATAAATAAAGAAGTAAAACCCAGTTACCTCCCCCCACCAAAAAACAAAAACAAAATAAAATAGGACTCTTGACTTAACATTTTCTTTCTCTATTTCTTCTCTTTCAAAAACAAATTTCCACAACCAGAAAGGCATCTAGCTTTCCAGATTCCCGCAGCCCTGGTCTCTACACCACGTGGACGTTATCCACCTCCTCTGTGTCCTCCCAAGGCAGCATTTCCGAAGCTAATCCCCGGCAGAACCGTCCCTTCAAGTCCGTCTTCGTGCCCACCGCTGTGGTCAACCCCATGCGGAGCACAGCCGGCCTGGGGCCCATGGGACAGGGCTCTCTTCGCAAAGGGCGGAGCAGCATGAGAAAGAGTAAGTGGTGGCCTAGAGGAACGTGCCTAGAGCTAAGTGATGGGGACATCTGACCCCAGGTAAACAGAGTGCTTTTTGCAAACACAAGGATCTTGGCTTTAAAACGAGCCTCCATGAAGGCTGCTTTACAATTCCCAAATACTGAGTTGTTTGATTGGATGAAACCAGACTGTCTCAAGCTCACTGCCCTCAGTCACTTCATACATGCACGTTAATTGGCTGGGCTGACGGCAGCCCTGAGTACCAACACAGAATTAGGACATAGCTGAGGTGGATGCTGGGTCTTATGAAGACACAATGGCTAAAGCACCTGCTGGATCAGTGCTTCTCAAACTGTGTTCCAGAGAGCCCCTCAGAGGGGGTGCCAAAAGGGTAACAAGGGAAGGATGCAGGGGAGAAGGAAAAGGATGCTAAGAGCCCCTGAATCCCACTTTCCTTAATTACTACATGCACAAGGCAAAAAAAAATTAATACTGTACAAAAGTCTCCTTCATATAGCCTTAACCCCCAATCCCAAGTTCTTGTCCACATACATACATACCTTGTAATCACAGCACACTGTTCTGCTCCTTGCTTTTATTTTTATGTAACATCTGCTCTGCATACATGGCAATTATATAGATCCTTCATCTTAAAATTGAACTTCTGCATAAGACTTCATTTTCAGGGGTTCTAAAAAGCATTTGAAACCCATTGTTCTACAAAACTTCAAGCTTCTATATCCATACACCTCTCCAGAAGAAGACAGTGAGCCAAGAGAAGTCAACTTGATGTATTCTACATCCCCTGACTTAAACTGGGCTCTGCAATCTCTCCTGCTATCTCAGAAAAATGATTGTAGGTAAAAATGCAGCATGACTAGTCAGAGCAAAAGATTCACATGTGGGACAATACGCCACACAGGAAAATGCCCCAAGAAAATTTCAACAAGTATAGTAGCTCCACCCTTTCTCAGTGCTTTCATCTGATCTCCGGCTTGACCACCAATCCCACTACTCTTGCTTCTTAATTCTTCCCAAACATGCCTCCCTCCTCCACCCTCTGCACCAACCTCCACCTTCTCCCCCCAGCACACACACACACCAGGTAGTCCCCCCACAACAGCCTCGAGCAAGTGACTGACCTCTTGGGTCTGCAGTTTTCTCATTTATAAAATGGAAATAAAAATAGAACCTACATCATCAGGGTAATGAAATAATCCACTTAAGCCTAATAGCACAGTGCCTGGCACATAATAAGCCCAGGGGAAATGTCAGCTATATTTTTATAGTGTTAGTATTTTCTCAGGACTATCACTGCTACTACAACTAAGCAGATCATCTAGAACGTGAACTTAGGGCTGACATGATCACACTTGGTCTTGACCACCCATGAATGCCAAGACGGGCATCCCCTTGACAATGCTCAAGCTTCCTCTTGGACACTCCCTCCCGACCTCTTCGTAGATCTTGATTGGCCTGGAGTTTTGCCCGTTTGCATTGTATGCCCACGTAATAAGAAAACATTGAATCTCTTGGAAGTTAGGAACGAAGATAAATAGATAAGGTAATAAACTGATTTTTCGTGCATTTCTCGGGGCTTAAGGACATGTCTGCGCAATGTGGGTTTGACTGTCTCAGGTCCCAGAGGCTTTCTCTCTCTCTCTCTCTCTTTTTCTCAAGGTGAGGCTGGTCAAGCTATCAATCTCCCCAAAGCGAAGAAAATGACAGAGAACTGACTGTATGCACCTCACAGGGCTGTCAGTGGAAAAATAAATGTCGACACTGAAAGGGCAGACTTGTGCAAGGGGTGGCTGGCTTGCTGGCAGCAGCTGAGAACGCCGATAGTGTTCAGTGAGCATTCTGCTTTTTGTGTTTGCACCCAGCTTGATGAAGACTCATGACACAGGGCCTGCTGTGCTGGACACAAATGGCTTTGATTCACACACGTGTCCAGAGAGTGTCACGAAGGACTAACATCTCTGCTGGACGTCACCTATGGCTCTAAATGTTGGGAGACCCTTAACAGAGAAATGGCCCCCCAGTGCTTCTCAGTGTCTCCCCACTGCTCTCCAGAGTGCAGTGAATTCTCAATTATTCTCCAGGTCACCCACAGGACACATGCTCGAGAGATGGGCATCTCCTGTCTTCCAGAGAATCTGAGGAAGGCATGGCTTCCTTTTACTGAGGGAGGACCATCAAGAGTGAGCTCAGGGAAGGGGCAAAACCAAACCCCTAGACCTTGCATTTTCAGGGTTTGCTCTCCTTTACCCCACAAAAGTGATAGGTAACAAACATGAGACATTTATTATGTTCCAGGCACTATCCTAACACTTTGCACACATGGTACAACATAATCCTCACCCCAGCCCATGAGGTGTTGTTACCAGCTCCAGTTTACAAGGAGGGGACCGAGGAGCAGGGGGGTGATGTGACTTGCCCCAGGCTCCCTAGGAGATCTGATTCCAGAGCCTGTGTCGTGGGATTTGGCAAAGCATACCCCTAACTCGTGAGAAAGCTTTCCAAATTTGCTTCCGGCTGCTGTCACATTTGCCCGGCACACACACACTAATTGCCACCCACTCTTCCTCCCTGAGGACCTGACAAAAAGCAGAGGTCCCACTACCGGAGCTTCCGTCAGAATTTGCGTCATGAAACTGATCAGAGTCCTCTCCCCTCTCTTCTGCTTTCTCTCCCTCCCACTCCTGCCTCTGAGCTGACTCTCTCTCTTCAGTTTCTCGATTCCTACTGTCTCTTCCTTTGTCTCTGTCTTTGGTTTCCTCTTTGGTCTGCATGGCTTTGTGTTTGCTTCTCACTGTGAAGCTATCTCTTCAAGACTGTCTTCTTCATTTTCTATCTTAAAGGCCTGGAGAGAGAGTAGGAGAGAGAGAGAGAAAGCGTGTGTGTGTGTGTGTGCATGTGAGAAAGAGAGAGAAAGAGAGAGAGACAGAAGGCAAATGGAGGTAACAGACCTCTGACACCCTGTGCCCCAATATTCACCCAGCCAGTTATTTGCTGCCAGCCTCAGCAATCAGCACTAAAAAAAGAACAAGGTCACCTTTGAAAGACCCTGGGAGAATGTCAGTGCAGTCGAACTGGGAAAGCACTGAACTATTCTGGGATATCAGGGCCCGGCACTCACCCAGCCCCCGCCCAGGCTGCTGTCAGCCGCCCCTCTGCTGACGTCACTGTCCTATAATTCCGCAGGTGGATCCCTGCAGAGACCCATCCAGTCCGGGATCCCCACCCTTGTGGTGGGCTCCCTCCGACGCAGCCCCACCATGGTGGTCCGGCCTCAGCAGTTCCAAGCCTACCAGCCGCAGGGGGTGCCCTCCGCGGCCTCGGCAGTGGTGGCGGACGTGGGACCCAAGTCCGCTCCCACCGGGGAGCCCGCCCTCACGGGTGTCAGCAGGGGCAGCGACACCAGGATCCACTCAGCAGCCAGTTCCCTCATCATGGAGGGCAAAGACACCCCCGTCAAGAGTGAGCCTCTACCAAAACCGCCGGCATCTGCCCCTCCCTCCATCCTGGTGAAACCAGAAAACTCCAGAAATGGCAGTGAAAAGGTAGGAGTAGCTTTCGACCCCTAACTTTGCGTCCTCACGCACAACCCCCTCTACATCCCCCGCACCGTTCACACCCTCTCTAGACGTGTTACTGAATTTCCTTGGTGCTTCCAGAGTATCTTACACATCCTCCTCTCAAGGCCCAGAGGTGGCTTGGGAAAAATACGGCTGTGGCATCAGACACCATCTCGATTTGAACTCCAGCTCTGCTGCTGGCTAGCTGGGGGCTGGTCAAAATGCTTCACCACCAGAGACTCTTCTTTTGCCTGATCTGTAAAGTGGTGGTAAAAAGAGAAGCAGCCTCATAGGATTGGAGTAGAAAGTAACTGAGGTCAGAGTAGTCAAGTGCATACATCGGGCTTGATGCAGAATTTGTTCACAGTATAGAAGAGGCAACTGAAACACAGGAGAATTTAAGTGACTTATCAAGGTCACGTGCAGTTGTAACTACCCACGAACTGTTACTGTGATGTCTGTGATCTCAGGGCTTTTCACCAGAAGATGTAAGAGTTTTTGAAAAAGTATTATGTTCTCAATAATATCCTTGAGGCAGGAGGGATGGTGGGATGGAGGAGGTGACATTAAGAAATTAGGTGATGATTATCTTTTAGTTTTTTGCACAGCACACCACTGTCACCACCATCACACCACCACCACCCGTTCCCCTCCAAAGGGGAAGGAAGATGGTGTGGCTTTCTCCTCTTTGTTAAGCACTCACTGAACGCTAGGACCTAGCAGGCACGGCACTGCGTACTTCACTCGTCCTATCTCGCCTAATTCTGACAACCTTCAGAAGTAGCTATGATCATTATCATCACCCTCATTTTAAAATGAGGAAATGAAGACTTATGGTGTTCAAGTCTATTACCCAAAGGCACAGCTGACACCCATGAGTGCCTGGAGTAGAATGCAGATCTGATACAAAAACTCACGCTCTTAAGACTAACCTACAAGCATGGAGGGAAAGGCATTGGGGAAGAGTGTTAACTGGTTGAAAAGCTGAGAATTCTTTTTCTGAACTGCAGTATTCAGTTCATTCAGAGTTCTCCAGGCCCCATTTGTCCATGACCCCAAGGTATTAGCTACAGGCCTCAAACTGTGTTTAGTAGAGGCCCAGACCTCTGCTAGATATGGTGAGGGTCAAAAGTACGAAAACATTTGGATTCTCAGTGTGGGGACACTAGGATTCAATTTCATAGAAAAAAGAAATAATGTCTAAGCAATAGCATGGAACACCTTGATAAGCCCTGAGACAGGGACTGGCCAAAGCAGATACCTATTGGTGGCAGGCAGGTGTATAACAGGCTAGGAAAGAAGAGTGAGGAAGGGCTTGTGCAAACCCTAGAAAAGGGGAACTGCCCACCGGCTCCGGCCAGCTGTAGCCAGAATGGGGCACAGGCCCCCGTGTGCCTGAGCTTTAGTTACCTTAAGGGACACATGAAATCCTGATTTTTTACATGCAATCTCCCAATTTTTATATGCTGGCAGCTAAATCAAACTCCCAAACATTCTGCAGACTAAACTCAGTCCACGAGGGTCCAGCTTGCTAACTCTGTTCTGATGGAAGTCTCTCGATGGGAGTCAGCCAGGAGGCCTCAAAGAAGAGGTGGGCCTTGAGATCGGCCTTAGTTGCAGGCACAGAGGAGACAGGGGAGGTGAACTTCTTATAGATTCTCAAAGGGACCATACTCTCTTGCCCCGGGAACTCTGTTTCTCCTAGATAATTCCCAATCATTCTTCAGTCCCTCGCTGAGACAGCTCTGCCTCTAGGTGGCCTTCGCAGCCAAGCCCTACTCCAGCTCCAGTCGGACACCCCTCTGCCATCCCTCCACATCTCACATCTGCCCCACCACAGCACTTGTCATCCCTGTCATTGGCCAGGGCGGTTTTGTTCACGCTTGGATTCACAGCACCTGCCAGAGCATGTGAGGCTTGGTAGACACTCAGCAGAACAGGTATTTGCTGAGTGAACATGTGAACGAGGCATTCCAAGAAGGGCCAAATGCAGAGAAACAGCATGAACTGAGTCCCAGGGGGAAATAGCGCACGGCTCCCACCTCACCTGTGTCCCTTTGCTCTCCTCTCTCTCACAGCAAGTCAAAACCGTGAGATTTCAGAATTACAGCCCTCCCCCCGCCAAACATCATACCTCCCATCCCAGCACTGGAAAGCCTGAACAGCCAGCCACCCCGAAGGGGTCCCAGCCTGAAGCAGCCCCCTTGGGCCCAGAGATGACCACTCTCTTCGCCCACCGAAGCGGCTGCCATTCTGGACAGCAGACGGACCTGCGGAGGAAGTCAACTTTTAGCAAAACCATGACCTCAGCATCCACGGCCTCAGCCACGCAGACCATGTTTCCCAGCAAATGAATCTACAGGTGGCTTTTCCTAGACCCCCAGAGAGGTGAATTGCATTTAAATACAGTCTGCCTCCACTGAGGGCGTCCTGCCATTCTTTGGGGACTTAAGCCTGGGTCCTTTTTCTGCCCATTTTACCTCCAGCAAAGGACAGGTTGGGTGGGGATTCCTGCCTGGCTGGGAGGATATACTGGGTGGTCTTCCAAATATGATTCAATGCAGCAAGGCCACTACTCAGACCAAGAAGTGGGAGCTCGTCCTCCCTACTCTGTTCCCCAGTGTGGAGTGTGCAGCCTCTCGTCCCCTCTGCTCTGTGTAGAATTTCTAAGATGTTCTAAAAGGGGCTTCAGTCAGGGGGGTCACGAAGCTGGGAATGTTGGCATGGATTCTTTGACCTCAACATTTTAGAATAGCTTCTGTCATTTTCTAGGGCCTGGAGGCTGGCCACTAGTAGCTGCTATATCTTTTTCCCTCCATAGAGTCATAATCCAGGCTGCCCGGGGAGAACTTTTGGGAAGGGTGTGAGATGGATAATTTGAACATTCCGAGAACCCTCTAAAACCAAGGAGAGTCAGTTTCCCGGCTTTGCTCCAAACAAGGTCAGAGAGAGAGCTGACGACGGTCATACTTTAAGCTTCTCAGTCTGTCTTTCCACATAGAATCCTGTGCAATAGATCAGCAGGAAGCATGTACCTGTGGACAGGGTCCTGTCTGCTATGACGGACAATTCATGCATCCTGGCTCCAGTCTGACCTCCCCAAGAAAGCACAGCATGCTTAAAAACAACTTTGTAAGGGGTTTGAACTTAGATGTGTTTTCTGTTTGTGCTGCAACTTTCTTTACACTCACTGACTTCTGTTTGGGGCAGACTAGCTGTTTCACCAGGTTGCAGGATAAGGCAGCAGTGCCACTGAGAAGCTGCCAATCCACAGCCGGGGTGGGGGCGCTTTCTAGAGGGAAGCGTTTATGAAAATGGACTGGACAAATAAGGCTGGAGAGGAAAAGGGGGAAAGCAAGACGAGAAAGAGGGACAGTGAAGAAAACATGCAGGAGAGAGTGTGGGGAGGTGATGAGAGTGAGAGAGAAAGAGGATTGGGAAAAGGGTCAGGGGAGAAGATAAGAGTCTTCTCTTGACATTCCTGATGGTCAAGGTGGGGAAAGAAGAATGGAATCTGCAACACGAGGTGCCTCCACTAAGATGGGGCTGAAGCAAGCGGGACGAGCCAGGCAGAGCCTTGTAAACAGCGGTGAGAGGGCGTCCCAGGCATCCAAGGCAGTGCTGCAGGACAAACCGCTCATCCTCATTAAACTTAATTGTTGGGGTTTGACATTTATTGCATGTCCATCAATGTGGACACTTTAGTGCATAAATGCCATTTGCTATTAAGCCTGGATGTCATTAAAAAAAAATAGGCAGGTCTAATTAGACCTTCTCCCTGGACAGTTCTTGAAGATACTGGGATTAAACACATTTATCTTTTACATACCAAACACACACTTGGCAAACTGAATTGCCAAGACTTTTCCAGACCCTTATTAAAGCAAAAACAAAACCATAATCCTGCCAAGGAATACTGCACGCATGTCAGAACTTTGAGGTTGGTACAGCCAACACGACAACACATTCTAGGTGTTTCTAGGAGATACTGACCCATGCCTACTCCACAAAACCATCGAGCCCAACTCCATCACTCATTGAGATGAATATAATAATTCAGATGGGAAAATATGGAAAAGTCGCAAGGACAGGCAGGCATTATATGATTTGTCAAAATACAAGGACCTATGCCTCATTTTTACCCCAAAAAAGTACTCTCGCTGAGTTCAGCAACGAGTTTAGCAACCTACTCGACACCCAGAGCAGCAGATCTAAGACACGCCCAGCCAACCAAATATTTAATCTGTGCCTCACTAGCAATGAATCTAGTTAATTTTTAACCGCTGTGGCTGAAAAGCAGGCCGTTTGGGTGTAATGGAGACACAATGCACACCTTCCAAATGGAACAGAATATTCCTCCCATTGTCCATGTCCTCTGTAGAGTAACCTCTCTGAGAAATGTAAGCAGCTCCAAAGGCTTGCCACTCCATCCCATCCAGCCTCCTTCCGCCAAGCCCAGCATCAAACGCCCTTCCTCCCAAACCAAATCCCGTCCCTGTGGAGTTGTATGAGGATTTGAAAGGGGCAGTAAAATTGAACTCACTGGGCCTGCCCATCATTTATTCCAGCACCATGCTACAGACATTTCTGATCTGGGCACTGCAGTAAGGACAAGAGATTCATCCTTTCCTATAACCTCCACCATAACCTTATAAGGCAAGTAGAACTGTCGCCATTATGGAGCCAAGGAAACTGAGGCATGACAGTTAACTACAGATGGTGGCAGCGCAAGTCTGAGAGCTGCCCGCACCCCAAGTTCAAGCTCCTAACTTCAGAGCCCAACTCGGGACCATGCTACGTGCACCAAGAGACCATCCCTGACTTCAGGCCACTGACTTCAGACTGCAGGGTGGGTGGTACAGTCCACTGGTTACAAATGCAGGCTCTGCTGCACACAGGCTGGGTCCAAATCCTGACTACTTGCCAGCTATGTGATGTTGGGCAAGTTACTTAACCTCTCTGAGCCATGTCTTCTTAAACAGGAGTGATAATAGTGCCAACCTCTTTGGGCTGTTGTGAGGGTTAACTAAGAGAATATTATTAAAGGCACTGAAGCTGTGCTGGCACAGAGCGAATGCCTGAAAAACATCAGCTTTGAATGTTTTTAAGGAAGCAGGCCACTGACATTCCAGGTGAGAAAGTCTAGAACAAGGGCATGCCCCGGGCTGTGGTGCTAAAGGGGACCAAGTGGCCGAGTCGTGGAGGTCAGAACACAGTCTAGACGGAGTCCTAGAGGACAAGAAAGAGTCAGACAGACAAAGGGGAGGGAGAAAGGATGGGCAAGCCGGAGGAGAAGCATTTGGCAGTCTGGTTTAAATGTAACAATCAGGCCACGTTGTCTTGTACTCAGAGGAACCCACTCCTTTATGGAACATTCTAGGGCATCCCAGGGAGAACCCTAGCACCTCATGTCTGAAGCCAAATATCACGTCCTGTGCGAGCTCCATCCCCTCAGCTAAGACTCAGAGTCATTAGGAAAGGTGCCCCTTTACCCCATGATCAGACCTGGCACCTCAGTGCTAAGAAAGCTGCTGAGGGTGGGCTCTGCTGGGGGAGGGGAAGGGGGACACCTAAGGTGAAGCAGGGGGACAGCCAGCTGAGAGCAGACTGTGATGGCCACACTTAAGGAAATGCCACCCCCTTCCATCCAGTCTCCGTGAGCAGCATCAAGGTCCTCACTTAAACTTGCCTCCTTCCCTTCTCGGGTGAGGCCGGCTATGTCTCCACTGCCCTTCACCCTCCCATCAACCAGGCTTTTGGAGCAGGAAGAGTAGAAAACAACACCCCGCCTGTGATGGGGTGAGATGCAGGACTGACTCAGTGACTTCCTGACTCACAGACTTCCACCTTCCCTTGAAAATTCAGAAGGTCATCCACACGAGGCCTGCATTCCCAACTCCAGCCAGCCAGTGATGGCTGGGTCGGGGTCAAGACTTCCATGAAACAGACACGCACCCTTCAGTTTGCACAGCCCCATCAGCCTGCTTCACTCACTCATATGACCTGCCCCTGAGTGGGGCGTGTTCCTCTGGAGACTGTGTGCTCGACGTCATATCTCAGAGGCATCAGAAAGCCCTTGAAAGTCAGCGCTGGATCCTTAGAGGCCAGTTGACCCATGCGCACAGGTCTCAGGAGCATAGCGGCCCCAGCCTGGCCCTACAGGGTGCCGTTCAGTAGTTCTGAGGTGGGGACTGGGCATCCGGGTTTTCAACGAGCTTCCCAAGTGATTCTGATGCACATAAAGTACGAGAATCAAACTCAATTTTCTCATATTGTGTAGCAGAGCCGATGCTCAACTCTGACTTTCAGCAGGAATATAGCCACCCTGATTATTAATATATTGAACGTGAAAGGTGAACAGTAGATGCTCTGAGCTCCCCTAGACCGCTCCCCACTCCCGCACTCTGGCCCTTCCTCCAGGTCCTCATCACTCTCCCTTCCAACAGCTAAAAAGCTAAGGCCAGGTGCAGCTGAGACCGCCAGCAAAGCCCTTCTTCATTCTGACTAGCTAGCGCCTACACCATACCGGTTATTAAATATCATGACTGTTACCCTGTTGTGGAGAATAAGGCCCAGAGAGGACATTCAGAGGTTAAGAGCACTGCTATTAAGCCCAACACTTCCTGACCCCCATCCTGGCCATTGTTCAGCCCTTAACAATCACCCTCATCAGGCCCTTGGCTTAGAAAAGAAGCTGACTTGGAGGACGGGCAGTTCTGTGCCCATTTGCCTACCTTTTTCATCTAACAGTTTCCTAGGCATAAGCAATGCCCTTTAGCTTCCTAGCTCCCCCAGCATCATTTTGGCAGGTATGGAAAAACGTAATTTGCTTTAATAAAATGAGTAGGCCTCCATCTTCGTCCTCTCACTTGCCTCTGTGCACGCAGGCCAGCCCCACAGCCTGACTCCTTTCTCGGAAAGTGAACAGCTGTGGCAGGTAGAATAACGAAGTCCTCTCGAGTATCCCAAGCTGGGAGCAAGTGCTTAACAAGCTGGGCTTTACCAGGGCGGCAGCCGCTGCCACTGAAGCTTCTCTTGCTTACGTCTTGAGATTAAAGACCCCAGTTCCCCCTTGGGCTAAGTGTAGGGAGCGTGAGGTCTTGCAGAAAACTCTCAGGTTGCCCTGAAAGGCAGTCACTAAGGGAATGTGTTGGTCAGGCAAGACCAAACCAGAGGATGAATCTCTAGAGATCCTCGCAGGAGGCTGGCGTCATGGAGAATAAATCTTGCAAGGGTGTTTTGCTTGAAATAGAGGAATGTTAAATGATCAAGCCATCTGCTGTTTGCCAGGGCATGGTATTGTGTCCTAGACCAGAGGACAAACAAAATGTTCCCAGGAGGCCCTTCTGCCTATTGACCTACCCTTTGACAAATGGATGCAGCAGAGG